CTTAACGGGGAATCAGGACCCCTCCGTGGGCTATCCTCGGGAACTGGAGCCCACACCGGGCTGGATTCGGGGACTGGGAAGCGCTTACGAGGAGCTGGCACTGGAGGGTGCTCTGGAGGAGCAGGCACAGCAAGGCGCTTTTGACGAGCTGGCACTGGAGAGAGCTCTGGGGCTGGAGCCGCCACTGGAGCAAGCTCTGGGGCTGGCAGGCTTGACTGAGGAACCACCGGCGGGCTTGCCACATGAACGCTTGGAGGGCTTGCCACATGAACGCCCGGCTGACTTGCCACATGAATGGCCGGCGGACTTGACTGAGGAACGGCCAGCGTTTCTGGGCTGAGGACAGAGACGGTGCTGGGAGGAGATGGGTGGTCGGAACATTTGGATGGGTATGTGGAGGGTCCTGACAAGGGGTGAGCTGGTGAGGCACAGTGGTTTTCGGGAGGGACTGGATGATGATCGCTCCAAACTTTTTCTACCTCCAGATTAACTCCATTTAAATACAGGACATGATTAACCAGCTCGATCAGGGGAAAACTATACGTGGGAAGATCGCAGCAGATTACATCATCATCCAGCCCCAGCCGAAAACAGACACCGAGAGCAGAAGGAGCGAGGAGACGAGGGATAAACTTCAACATGGACTTTAATACAACGAATGCAGGGAAACAAACACAGGAACTCAGGAGTGACATCCAGGAAGACGATTCAACAACCGACAACACTAACTGAAAGGACTTGGGTTTTTAAACACAGGATAACTAGGGACTAAGGAGACACACCTGGAATCAAATGAACAATCAACATGAGGGAGAAACTGGGACACCTGGGGCAAAACACACACAAAACATGGAACGGAGTCTGACACCTAGACCCTATACCTGGGACGTAACAGTTGGGGCGTGTTTGTTTTGGTGATTTGAAATATCAACATTGGCTACCAGAAATCACTTACCCCACCTTTAATGTGACAACACGCACAGCAGCCAATGAAATTGATGTATTTTATACTATATTTGCATATGTCACACAATGGTACATTATACTTATACAAACAGCAGACATCATGTTTATTCACAATGGATGTCATAATTGCACACTGGTCAAATCAGATGTAATGGATCATGACAGTCAGATGATGTCAGTATGTCATGATTTTATAAAAGTCTTAATTTACATTGTAACATTAATTGATTTACTCTAGCACAGTAGATATCAGTAAAGCAATGCTGCATTGAACTAAAGAAAGGATTAATATATAGGTAAATCTGCTTTAAAAAGTATTACATGTTTGAACATGGCCAGAATGTGCACATTTTGAGAGACAAGTTTAAATTCATTGTCTTAACATGGTAAAACTGTGTCTTTATATGTTCTAAAGAAATGCAGCAAAAACTGACATCTTAACACGGCTAGAATGTGCTTGTCGTACAAAAGGAAGGCGTTCAAAATTGCAGCGTTAACACAGACAAACAGTGTGAGTTGACATGGTCAAATTTCACATGTTCACAAGTTTAAAGACTTTTGGCCCCGTCTACCTTTCATACCAACTCACTGGTTTAAAACAAGTGTGCTTCACACATCCTGAAAAGTGAAACCAAAAACATTGCCATCTCGTGGCTGGCTGCAGTATAGGTCATAAACCCTACCCTCTCCATCATTTTAGATAGTTCTTATCATGCTGATGTATGTTCAGTTCAAGAGCTAATAAGTTTGCTTTTAATTAGATATTTGATGCTATAAAATGGGGTGTGGTGTCATGATTGTGTTCTTGCGACTGGGTTCTGTGAGTTTTAGGCAGGACTTTGATACTGCAGTTCCACCTCAGGATCACTACTGCACAGAATTGGGCTTCAAATGACATCAGTGGTGCAAGATGACAGTGACAATACTTAGATGTTTTGGCTGGTGTTGTAGTACTTAAAACCAGTCTTGGTCTTGAGACCAGTCTTAAGACCATTTTTTGAAGGCCTTGGTCTTGTTTCTGTCTCAACCACATTTGTACTTGATAACTCAGTCTCAGACTAAGAGGACTCTGGATGTTTTTTTCTAAACTGGTCAATTTATGGTCATATGGACAATGGTCTTATTGTTAAAGGGGTCATATGATGCTGCTAAAAAGAACATTATTTTGTGTATTTGGTGTAATTAAATGTGTTTATGCGGTTTAAGGTTAAAAAAAAAAACTTTAAATAAGAATAAAAAATTATTTTCCACATACTGTACATTATTGTTTCTCCTCTATGCCCCGCCTTTCTGAAACGCGTCGATTTTTACAAAGCTCATCGTTCTAAAAAAGCGAGGTGTGCTGTGATTGGCCAGCTATCCAGTGCGTTGTGATTGGCTGAATACCTCAAGCGTGTGACGGAAATGTTACGCCCCTTACCATATTGTGATGATGCCCTGTCAGGCCGGAGCGATGATTCAAAAACATGAAAACCCATTATAAACGAGGCATTCGTTGCATCCAGTGGGGACATAATTATGGATTATAATGACTTTATGTCTTTTTACGCATTGCGTTGCATCGCGCCACGTAGACATAAAACCATGTCTGCATTTGTGATCGGAGACGTAGACATGTGGGGCGTGTTAGAACGAGCCGTTTTAGGTAGGCGTTGCTGACTCTTAAATTTATAAAGAATATCTCTTTGGATTTGAGACTTTAGTCTTTGCAACTTTACAGATTTTCTTTATGCACCAAGAGCTTGTAACACTCCAAAGAGAAAGGAAAAATTGAAATTGCATCATATGACCCCTTTAAAGTATTTATTGATTCAATATAAGGTAATTTTCATGCAGTAAATGTTGTGTTGGTCTTGACTCTGTCTCGTCATGCCTTGGTCTTAGTCTCAACTGGGTCTCGGTTTAGGTGGTCTTGACTACAACTATAGTTTTGGCCTCACTTTTCTATAGTGGAAGGAAGTGGAGAAGCATCGTCCATCTTTTTTTTACAGTCTATGGTTTGACACAAATGATTCGTAAAGGTTTCGAAGCTTCATGAAGCAGTTTCGAAAGCGGCCCTCTCTATGATGAGGTATTTTGAATTTTTTTATTGTGTTTATCATTTATAAATCACATTTTTGTGTATATGAAATTTAATCTATGGCTACACTGATAGTTAGATGACTGGCTGTAATTTATGAGCGAGTTTAACCATCTTCAGTATTCATAACAACCCTTAACGCACACTAAATCCACACTGCTTCATAGCGGTGTTTGAAGCTAAGTCCCATCATGCATCATGTTCTGGAAATAAAATTACGTTGGTACAACATTTGCAACTGCTTTTTATCACCACAATTACTCAATTGCATCACCTTTAATGCAGACTACGCAACAGACATTTAAAAATAAATTTTTAATAAAGTACTGAATTAAATACTGAAAATCAAAATAAAGCTTTGGAAACAACAATCAGTGTAATCCACTGGCCAAAGACCGCAGCCCAGAAACATCCTGCACACAGTAAAACAAGAAGAAAATTGGTAATACATTCACAAGACTCTGCAACTCTGTAGATGATGATTGAAAGAGGTTACTTTTTTTTAAAGTCTATAATTTATTTATTTTTAAATCTGCAAAGTGAATTAAACGTTAAAGGGATAGTTTGCCCAAAAAAGTAAATTCTGTTGTAATTTTTCTGTTGTAAAATCATACAGACATTTTTAAACAGAGCCAACTCTACTGGCAGCACTTGCTTTAAGCACCTTTTTCTCAGAGAAAGGAGTGGATTGGATTAGATGATGATGTGAAGCCACTAGCAAACTACCAGGAACAATGTTAATTTCCATTTAAGAGTCCCACTTGATATGAAGACAGCTTGTGTGCGTGTGTGTGCGTGTGTGTAATTGCACAAACAGTGCAGAGGATTTGAGATTCTTTAAGAACACAAAAGGGAGTTATGCCAACTACACCTTTGATAAAAGATTTGTTTTGCGTACCCAATTGAACCAATGTGTTTTACGATGAGTAAGCTCATTTAAAATGTCATTTTTGACAAACACTGATTGTATTTCTTTTTTGTCCCATTTAAGTGGCGTGGCACTTTAAAATACATAAAACCTCTATGAAATGGGACGTACCGGTAAATAGCCTGAAAGGAAATATGAACAGAACACACAAAATATGACACTGAACAGTGTCAACTTGTGAAACAACATTTATTTTTCAGTAATATAATAATAATAATAAATTAATTAATAAAAAATTTAAAGGATGCCCATTTCCACCTAATGTAAAATGTTATATGTAACTCGGTGTTCAACATTTATTTATACATTATATTTTATAATTAAATTCTTAATTTAAAAAGATTGGTTTCCCTATATCAAATAAAATAATGCTATGCTGAGATGTTACTTAAAAACATCCATATACTGTAACTAGCATAAAGGAGGAATTATGTAACAACAAAATATGATATTGGACAAAGATCTGTTTGAAAACGGCATTTTTTCCCCCTAAATCTTTTAAAAGGGTGTAAATTTCTAACATGTACTCGTACGTACTAGTGTGGCACACACTTTTATATTGAATGCATTATAATGTAGGTTATATGTATATTCGTAATTAAAATTATTTGTTTCCCTGCTAATTATTTGTTTCCCTATAATAAACATGAAGGCTTTTGGTACGTTGATATTTTACTTAGAAGAATCCATATAGCATAAAAGAGGAATTACCGTATTGGCCCGAATATAAGACGACCGCGTTTTTTCAGATGTATTTCCAAGAAAAAAACATCGTCTTATATTCGGGACAATACGGTATCTAAAAAACAAAAATATATCATTTAAAAAATAATAATTAAAAATTGCATTCCAGACGGCTCCTTTAAATAAGCGGTGTCGTAGATCCTTCATGAATGAAGCCACGTGATCAAACATCATATGACGTCTGATGATTTCAGTACAAGAGAAAACGAATCCGAGCAACAATAACACATTTACACATTTCGCTCAAGCACGCTTTGGATCCTCTACATACAAATACTCGCTCAAACAGAAAGGCCTCTGTTATAACAGGTGAGTCTACTCGATTATTGTTACATCAATTGTGTGACAGTGTTGTTGTGCTGAGTGTGCATGCACGCCTCCACTCACTCTCTTCACATACATATATATATATATATATAGTCTATCATATACCCGAAACAGCTGTATAAACGCACGTGCATTTATTATTCAAAATGCAAACGAGCTGCTGTGTATCATAAACACATTTAATAAGCGTGACCAGAGTCAGAGACGCACAGCCTATGGGGATTCCCTCTGTGAATTAGAGGCATTATAGTGACAGCTAGGGGGATGTGCAGAAATGTGTGCGCGCACACACACACATACACACAACATACATCAGCACAAAGCTGCTGTTTCATCATAAGGGCGCTGTGCGCTTCAGCACCAGGTAGGGCGCATGTGTTTGTCAGTATCAAATGATGCTGTATTCATATATTCATGTCTAAATGGGCGAATGGAATCTTTTATTATCCAGTCTTCCCTTCACAGATCTATGACAGGTAAAAATCGGATGAAAGAAGGTTTCATTTGTTCGAACGCTGTTCAGATGTCGTTCCTTTATGCATGAAAAAAAAGTGTATCGCTTTGTTTGTTTTAATCGGATCGTGGATGCTGATTCATCATAATGCTGCTCGGTTCATGCATGCCTCTAAGCTCAGGAATCAGTTCCCGGATCTATGTATTTGTCCGTGTGATGAGTATCTGTTATATAGTATGACATTCAGAAGCAGATGACTTTTAGTGTGATCTCATTTGCGAGATGTTTAGTAATAAACGTGTGTATTAATCAACGCTGTTTGTTAATGTGCATTGACCTGTTAGAATGCTTGAGTATTTGTCATTTTTTATTCTGCCAAATGTAAATTCCTGATAAACTTTGACCACTGTCTTAAGATTGATCTAAGGCTCCTTTTCTGAATTTGCATGCTCTTATGTTACAATACGCATAAAGCAGGAGCAGGTTTTTGTTGACCACAATTCTAAGCATCAAGAGCACTCCTGAGTCCTGACTGCCATGAGCATATGTGATCCGTATTGAGCTGAAGGTTAGAGTGACACTGTAAAAGCTTTTTGAATATAGTGCATTACCCATGACTTTATACCCTGTCTGTACTTTAGGAAAGAAGCATGTAACATTTTACTTCTGATTTATTTTTACAGTATTGCAGTTAAATGTTTGGACACAGCTTTGATATGGCATTGCACTCACTGTATGGTATTGCTATGTCCTGGTTACAAAACAAAAGCTGTTGCAAATTTCCAGCATTATTGCCCTGAAAAACAAAGACAGCGTTCATTAAACACACATTGATAACATGCCCAGTTGTGTAATTAAGTTTAATACATTTTAAAATTTAACTTGCCCTGACCTCATGTGCATGGTAAAAAAAATTATATAGTTGAACCTTGTCTGAATGTATGGCAATGTGGTTTTATCGTGTCCATTTGTTTGCCTAACAGCTAACATATCATCATATTTGTGTTTGATGATATTGAATTTTTCCCAGTTTAAGAGGATTTTGAATGAAGTGCTGTACAGAATCTTTGCTTTTTTTGTATAGTACACATTTATGTATTTGGACAAGTTTGTGTAAAATATCTTTTGACTTAATCAACAATAGCTTGGGCAGACCTAAATCTGCCTTGCATATATAAGGATGCCCTTTTGTGTCATAAACCCCATCTATTCATATGTAATTTCACCTGCCAGAGCAGGTAACAAGAACAGATGAGCACCTTCATCGAGCAGCAGGGGTTTAGATAGCGGCTTTCTTTTGAAAGATGTATGGTCTATCACATGCCTTCTGTAAATCCAGCCTCCCTTTTACCTGTGATACAGGCTTTGAGTGGTATTTCTATTTAACATGAGCTCATGAGCCACTTATTGGCTGAAGCTTTGCTAGGACAGGAGTTGATGCAACCTAAAGAAAGTCTTTAATGAGTGGAGGAGGTGCTCCTCGTATCTTCCAATTCTTATGCCATCTCTGCAGAAATTACAGTCCCTGAAAGAGTCCTTAAGTACAGTGTTATCTGGATGCAGAGCTCTAACAGCACAGGACTCCAGAAAAGATCAATAGGGTTTTGGGGGGTGTTGGGAGGGGTGTCGATGATGAAACTCGGTGTAAGTGAGGATGTCTTTTTTTTTTTTTTACTGCAGTTGTCTTTTGCCTGCTGTTGCTAGGCGTTTTTCTTTCTTTCTTTCTTCGAGATGTAACACTGTGCAAGAATGTTTTATTTTACTTTTATTCAAAGATGTTCATGTACAGTAGAATTAATGAGGAGTAAGCCATCAGAGAGCTTAAATTTAACAAACAACTGTGTTTAAAGACATAAATAACTCTCACTGGATGTCACAGAATAGTTTTATTATTCATATCACATTATAGTGCATTCTAATTTAGATTTGTCTGGAGTAAGAATGGAAATAGTATGTCATTTGACAAATTCTGATTTTGGTTCCTTAATTTCAGTTCCTTAAGTTTTCTTTTTCTTTCTCCCACATACATTGCCCTTTCACAAAAGAAAAATGTATATATATATCGCGAGACAAATAAGCAACCGCAGCTTCAAAAACAAGCCCAAAACAACCCCAATATTTTTGATAATTTATTATCAATATTATTTATTACCAACAAATGAGCCCGCAACATATTAAACTGAAACTATCCTTTTATCTGAAAAGCAAAAACATAAGTTATTTTACAAAAATCAGCAAACTGCAACAAAGCAGGAACAAAACTCATCTCCAATCACCTGTGAGCAGAATAGGATGGAAAAGGAGAAAAACACAAGAGCGTCAAAGGGGAGCTGTAACATAGCTATGAGGCTATTCTAACCAAATCTACTCTTAGTATTAGTATAGGCCTACTTGTATTAATTATCACGGGCTGTTAAAAAACAAAAAACATTACAAAAACATTGTAAAAATTAAAAATTAGGCTACCTTACAAAGGAAAAAAGTCATCCCACTCCTCTACGTCTACTATCATCGCTTGGATTATAGCGTCACCCTCATTGAAGAAAAACCACGTTCAAAAAGAAGGCGCGTGCGGAGGGGGCGGAATATTTGGCAAATTACGCTACTACAGCACTTATATTTTTGCACTGATTGGCTATTAACTGTGAGCAGACAGAGTGTCAATCAATGCATTGGAGAATACAGTGAACATAAATGAAAAGAAACGAAGTTGCTTGTCAGGTTTTCCTAACAAGCAACCATGTTTTTTAAAATAAACCCAAATAACCGCAACCCGCGACCCGGGATTTTTTCACGCAATTTTACAAAAAAAGAAGCCCAAGGTCGCAATACCCGGACCTGGCAACTCTGTGGTACTTATACCGCAAATATATATTCTTAAGGACATCAAAACCTCAAATAAAACTCCAGAAAGGTGTACCATATGGGACCTTTAAAGTGACAGCACTTTCTTAAAGGTGCTGTATGTAGGATTGACACCGAGTGGTTGAACTAGGTATTGCAGTCCAAATTCAAAATATTGGAGAGGGTTTTTTTCACCCGGCCCCTCCTCCTCAGACTTGACGCACAAGCAGGTTGCCAGATTGACAACACCAACAGGAAAGAGTGCACTTGACCATGAATTAAATGAAATACACTGTTTTCCGCCAACTGGCAACCCGGGGTCCCGAAATACAATTGGGTAAACTGGCAGTGGGCGGGTTTCACAAACCAAAACA